ATGTTTGCAGTTTTCTGTGCTACCACAAATGAACTACGCTACAGCAATGCGAATAGGCTCGCTGGGTCTGAAAGACCGATTCGATTAGAACGAAACTTCGAATCAAATATCCGGCAAAAAACTTCGGAAACCTTCCGAGGATGGCCTTCGAGGAGACTACACTAAACCCCAACCACTTGGGGAAGGTAGGTACTTTTTTCAGAAAGGTTTCTTTTATTATTCAGGCTATTCAGAAATAAGATAGAAATAGATAATAGAAAATGTTTGGTCAGGTGGGTCCGTTGGACCCAGCGCGCGTGCTCGCGGGTTAAGATTGGGGCAATGCTATTATTTGAACACAGTCCCAAAGGAAGAAATCACACATTGCTCAGTTCGGTGATTCAGGAGGCCAGATGGGGTTAGATCAATCATCAGACACTGAAGATTATTCTCTTGTTGTGCAAATTTTCATTGATGTAGGAAGCCTATCCTTAGAAAATGTAGTGAAGTTCCGTCTAGTTGCTTAGAGGTTTAAACTAATTGAAATAAAGCATTGGCAATGCTATCAGTTCAGTGGATCAAAAGAGGTGACGTGAATTGGAGTTGAATTAGGTTACTGATTAGGCATTAGTCAGGCCACAAAGGGAGGACACATTGAGAGCTTATAAGGTCAGTAAACAGAATACTCTCCATTAGTTTCAACTACGCTACCTTGTACAGGACTTTATAATGTAGCATCAAAATACCAATGCCCATTTTGACTACTTTTGCATATCTGTGCCTCCAAGTGAAAATTCAATTCTGGTCAGCATTCAGGTTGAGTTTTATTCAAATTAACCCGCGAGCACACGCGGAGGGTATGTCATACCCATGTACATTTTTCTTTTTGTATATTTCTCGCCCATTCTTTCATAAAAGGACGAACCTTAGTGTAGCTGAGTACAAAGTCACATACTTAAATGGGGAAAATTTCTGAGGTGGCAAGTGCAACGGTTTTTTTAGGACCAGCATTGTTCGGGCATGTCATACCCGCGCGTGTACTGGCGTTTCTTTTCAGTGTCTTCGTCCTTCTTCTTTTTTCAAGCTTTTATAAGTTTTTCTTGATTGTAAGCATGGCGCCCGTATATTCCTTACCAGATTGAGAAACAGTTTCTTCTTCTGATGAGGATTCATTTAGAGAAGAAGAGGAAGATGTTGATGACGAAGAATATAATTAGTAATCATGATTCATCCATATAGAGTAGTGATTCAGATACAGAAACAGAAAATGAAACTCTGGAATGTAGTCAATGAGTTCTATGTTGAGAAAAATGGAGTAAATGGAACAAAAAAAATCCAGACTAATTTCGAATTTAGAATTGGCGCCAAAATTAAACTAAACTCTCTGGAAATACAAAGTATTCTAAAGACGTCTCAACACCTTTAGAGTCCTTGTCATTGCTTATCGATCGTGAAGATATGTTAAAACATGTAGTTGACAATACAAATATTTATATTTATTCAATACGAGAAAATTTCACACACGTGAACGGGAAGAGTACCTTTCTCAAAGCCGGGATGCAGCTAATAGAAATGTTCGAAATGAACGACGACGATCATCTGTGGTTCCTGATTCTGGACGAACACTGACCACCGATGAACAGTTAACAATGGGCCCTCCAAGAACCTCAAGACTTACAGAGGTGAAAACAAGAGAGAACACTAGATTCATTTGTTGAAATGACAAAATCCAAGAAAAAATTCCTCAGTTTTTTTTTTTTTTTTTTTATTTTTTTTTTTTTTTTTTTTTTTTTTTTTTTTTTTTTTTTTCTTTTTTTTTTTTTTTTTTTTTTTTTTTTTTTTTTTTTTTTTTTTTGTTTTTTTTTTTTTTCCTATTGTTTCTAAAAATTTAATTTTTTTTTTTAAATTTTTTTTTTTTTTTTTTTTTTTTTTTTTTCTTTTTTTTTTTTTTTTTTTTTTTTTTTTTTTTTTTTTTTTTTTTTTTTTTTTTTTTTTTTTTTTTTTTGTTTTTTTTTTTTTTTTTTTTTTTTTCTTTTTTTTTTTTTTTTTTTTTTTTTTTTTTTTTTTTTTTTTTTCGTTTTTTTTTTTTTTTTTTTTTTTTTTTTTTTTTTTTTTTTTTTTTTTTTTTTGTTTTTTTTTTTTTTTTTTTTTTTTTTTTTTTTTTTTTTTTTTTTTTTTTTTTTTTTTTTTTTTTTTTTTTTTTTCGGCAAATTTTTATTTACAATTTTTTTATCCGGGTATGACATACCCGGCGCGTGTTCTCGTGTTCATCGGATCGGTGCGTGTGCTCACGGGTTAAAATTCTAGTTAGCGTATTTCTTTGATATCTAATGTGACTTATCATCTCACTTGTCTGATAGTGACATCAGAACAAGCCAACGAATTTCGTCGCGGCAAGGAGAACAAGATTTCGCCTGTCGTTGGCTAAAGCATTGAGCACCATACAGTGACAGTACGACTTCGCTCAGTTAGAGCACCCCTGTGGTACGGGTCTGAGGATCTCCCACTCCTCTTCCCCTGCCACCAGCCTTTCAAGAGGACTTTAGTCTCGCCATGTATTTAGAGTGCCTCCATGCCGAAAAAACACTATACATTTACGAACATCGATGTCTTCTCCGGAATTCGAAGCCCGTTCCTTCGGTATCGCAGGAGGCTACCCTAACCACTATACCAATATATTCAGTGAAACTATTCAGTACCTGTCTTAAAACGCTGCTGATCCTTTTCAGATTTATTACACTTCATTTGTAATTTTGTTTCCCCAATACAGTTTTGAATTTCTTCTCTTGTGCAAACGGAATAGTCATGGGTTAGTAAAAGCAAAGCTGCAAGGCTTTGCAAGGCTACATAATTAGCATAACAGAATTGCCTTTCTCCAACTTTGGGGTATCAGAAACCTCTACTATACCGACAATGTTAAATTGGCCATTTTCGATGTACCTTTTCTCAAAATCTGCGGTAGATACAAGCTTGAAATTTTTTTCTGTAATTAAAAGTATACCTATCTGATTATACTGAAATGAGCTTTCGACGCATTTTGAATTTTAGAGTAAATTACAGAATATTTTGTTAGGCATAGTAAAATTTAGCACTTTTCTCACACAAAAATTAAAAAATTTTTTTTTTCTAAGTTTATTACAAACAGCTCATTTCAATAAATATTAGGGAACCTAATAAATAAGCCATAAAAAGTTTAGATACCTGTGTTTCTGAGAAAAGGTACATCGAGAAAACGCGCTTTTATGTAAAAATCCTCATTGATCAAAGCAGTAGATGACAAATTAAAACTAGATTTTTTTACAGTTCTAATTTTCATAGAGAATTAAAGAATGGTATTTTTGGAAAGATAAAAGTGTAGAGAATTTGAAAATGAACAAATCCGAAATCACAATTTTTTGAAGATATTTTGGTTCCAACACCCCTTAACCGAAGCTGAAGCAATCTTCTGAACAGTGGAATCTATAGGCAAAATTTAGCTAATTGAATCTACTATTAACGGTTGAGCCCAACATCTGCCTGTATTGGGAAGACTGTTGATAAGACTTACTATAAAGTTTTTGTTACGACCAAGGTAGAAGAAGGCTTAGTACCTCTTTTCTGTCTTATTAAACATAATTCCAGTTGTCATGCATATCGAAAGCATTTATGCAAGAAATACTAAGTTTTACAAATTTTAATTTATCCAAAATATCTTTTAAAGCTTTTTAAGAGCATACCCATTCGACACACTTCAAGTTTCTAAATGAAGTTTGTAGAATAAGAAGATGTAGTCAACGTTTCAGTCGTGTGGAGCTGAAGCAGTCCAACCGCTACCTGTTAAAACTTAACAAGATAACATTAGAAATAATTGGGTATTATGTTTTGGATATATTTTCCCACAACTTGATCAACTTGGATTAAGTTCAGAGATTCTTGATACATGAACAAGGGCTCATGGATAAATGGGCTTAATTGGTATTTTAAGCCAAATTTTAATTAAATTAAATTAAAAATAATCTAGCACGTTTTTCAGTCTTTTAACTTTACAAAAGACATTCAGCTTCTTTCTGGGGACTTTTTATGCATTAAAATTACTCATATATATTTTTTTCGTCATTTTTACGTAAAAATTAAATTAGACATAAGCTACTATATGTGAAAATAATTTTTATTACATTTTAATTCTAGGAAAATGAACGTGTCTTTAATTAACAGAAAATTAATTGTCTATTTCCTTGTTAAAAAATCCCTCCCAATTACAAAATGCATCTATAGAAATATTTATATCAAATTACGTCATCTCAACCTCCGTCATTGACATAGAAATGAATTACTACACAATTTTAAGAGATTACTGTAACGCTTTAGGACATTAATTTAACTTTCAAGAATGGGGAAATATTTTGCATCACCTATGCTGCATATTGAAAACATTTCAAAAAGTGCGACATTAATAACTTTAGATTTGAGGATTTAATAAGATTATATTTAATATTTTTTAGCTTCTTCCTAATGTTTTGACATTGCGATTTGGTTATACATGACATATTTTAGCTGTTGGAGAACAATTCTCAAGCACATGCTTTTGGCAAATTTCTATCAATTATGAATGTTCTTTTAGCCCAAAGGGCGTTAGCCCAGAAGGGCTATTAATTTCGTTATGGCATTTTGCATTGGTTCACTATAAATGTCGGTCCATTTTTCAAATTGTTGCCACCAAATATTAGAGTCCTGCATTATATTCAAAGACATTAAATAATGTCTTTGAATCTTTGGTACGGCAGTCAGAGATACTAACCAGTTTCTCTCTGGACGGCTCAATTTTGAATGTAGGTCTTTATTAAAAAAGAGTTTCACTCTAGCAGAGACTCATATATTTATTTTAATATTCAAATAATTGAATTAATTTTTGATTTAATATAATTTTTACTCAGATATACGATTTTATTTTAATGTTATTTTTTAATTAATGATTACATGAGTTTCAATTTTCCCTTTCCTTTGTGAGCTGATGAAAGGAACATTAGCAAAAACGCCTTTACCTGTCGTTTCCGTCGGAAGCAAGATACAGCATTGAAGTAACATTTCCAGTAGTGTTTAGGATAACCTCGTCGTTCAAGCTCTTGATGTTGCCGATTTACTCTTTCGTCAGGCTGGATAGCATTCTGCAAAGCATACATCAGTCTATTAAGAAGCACAGTAGGTCTTTTATGAATGATGTGATGTCCTGAGTCCTAAAAATAGTGGAACAGAATATTTAGTTGAAACTTAAGAATTTTCCGAACAAGGAATAAGTTGGTTACTAATAATTATTTACATAATAGGTTTAAAATCAACTAATGAAAAATACATAAAAGTTTAGATTTTAGCAAATGCTGGTCCTCTGTAGCTCCGGTTGAATTAGACAAAGTGCTTTTTAAGTGCATATTGTCTGCGTGGTAGGCACTTCAAATACTAGAGAGCTAAAAGTCTTCTACTTTAGCTTAAGAATAAGGAAAGCTAGATATCTTTGGATCCTTCCCGCCAAGTATGCTCCATCAAAATTGGGGCAGAATTGCACAGGTATTGAGGTGGAACTACACCTGAACAACCGATGGAGAAATTTCTGAATCCTGCTCATTTTTACCTGTAACTTCAGTATTAGAAATGAGCTCAGGCAAAGATTTCTTGTCCTATAGGGTGGGCGAAAATTCCTTTAAACGTGCAGTCATTCCATTATATCTTTAACAGCACATTCGTAATACTTATATTTATTTGTAGAAAACGTTCGTATGTGCACCAGCTGGAAGCTTTCAAGCCACTTGTTCTGCCGCGCATCGTTGTCCACGTACGTTCTTCCTGACATATAACTTGTTGATCTCCCACAGAGCATAGTCCGGTGTCGTTAAGGTCTGGACATCAAGATAGCTGAGGATAAGTCTGGTTAATTGGGGACGCATGTCTGATCCTCCACCGGCTAGGCAACAGTTCATTCAAGCGTTCGAGAACAGCAAGCGCGAAGTGGGTTTGAGTTCATCGTGTTGGTAAGCAACCGTGTATCGTTGATGTTCCAATTCTGCAGTCACGGAATCCTCAAGAATCCTGAATGTGCTGTTAAAGATATAATGGAATGACTGCACGTTTAAAGGAATTTTCGAGTATGGACCAAAGATGTGTTCCTCTGTCATCACCGCCCAAAAATATGACATGCAGAGGATTGCTCTCAGTGTTTTGGTATAAATGTGAGTTTTCCTTTGCCGGTATGAAGATGTGAATAGTGCATCCATCTGAGAAAAGAATGCACTTTCGAGAAGAAATATTGAGAACGCCTCAAACAATATCCTGCATGCTTCCTGCCTGCGATTTAAGTCATGGTCCGTTAGATCATTGATGGCCATTGGCCGGAATACTAGCAGGCCTAAGTCCATTTTTATATGGACTTGCCAACTTAGGCCATATGGACTTAGGTGGACAACATGTAATTGTGATCCTTTTAATTACAAGTTCTCCAGTACGCTTTCTGTTCATCTTGAGTGGTGAACGCATCACTGACACACTTACTTCAGAACATGTTTCCCTTAGGGTTGATGGACGACTGGAGCTGGGTTATCTAAAACAGTTTCCAGGTGAAAAGCTTTCTTCTTAAACATATCGAAGTCTGAAATCTTGGTGGTTTCTTACCGAACCGTTCACGAAACCAATGCTAAGCCATCCATATTATACTTTTGTTGTGGTGATTCCATTCATGGGCAGTCTCTAACCTAAGTGAAATTGCTGGTATCTGTTATTGTTTTTCACTATGAACGGAAAGGCGAGACAGTAAATTGGTCAACTCACGGACTTTATTCTCCTCCAATCGCAGTCACGTGGCAAGCAATTGAAAATTCATGTGAGAAGTACTGTTGCCATATCAATGATTAGAATGGGAAGTTAAAATCTTAAAGATCTTACCGTCTTACTCTGTTATACGCATTGAGTCCAGGTGTAATGAGACTTACTGGCTACACTGTGAAAGTTATAGTGCGAGAATAAAACTTGATAAACACTGCCGTAATTCAGATGACTTGGACACTTAAATAAAACAAAAATAGAAGAGAACACAGCTCACATTTACTTAAAACCTAGATGGGTGGTATGTTAAAAGTAAAATGAAGTTTAAAACTGATACTTAAAGTGAATTTGTTCCAAAAGCGGGGCAAGGAAAAAATTCTAACAAATCAGTAGAGAAAAAAGACGTAATCAAATATTTAGGCTTTACATGCCATAATTAATACAGATTACTCCCACATAAAATGTATAGGACTGTAAATGTTTTAAGCAAATCTAAATATAGAATGGGGTGTCTCAGTTACCAATAATTAAGTTAAATAATTAGTAATTAACCAATAGTTAATAATTATGTCTAACAGGCATAGAAAGCAAAATAACCTATGGCTTGGTTATCTGATCTGGATGCATACTTATACGCAGTTGCCACAAGTACATCGTATTTTGTTACTATGCACTCACTACAAAATCAATCAAAATATCGCAGCGTCAGCTTTATGAATCTTGGCTTTCATTACTCTTTTTCGCATGAAGAAGCTATGCAAACCAAAGCATGTATTTTAGCATAGAGACTCTGCTATTTTCTGATTAACGAAGCTCTTAAATTACTATTTGTGATCTTGCGGGATAGTGATTTGGAATTTCATTTAATTAAGTTCTGAATATTAAATTCATATAAAAGAGAAATTAACTTAAGGGGACTCATACACCTTAATACCCATAAGATGTTCGAATAGGTAACTGTTGCAAGAACTGGGATAACTTATTTATTTTAAAAGCAATTATTACCAACTTTTTACAGCTGACTACATAATATAGCTGTTTTCTGAAATAGTCATCAGAAAGTTTGTGTTGCCACAAATATTTTTATAATTTAATCCGCTTTGTGACCACATTTTTCGTCATGTTTCCAACTTGCGCGCACAGTTTAAAACATTCTGTTTCATAGTTTAATTCCATATTGAATATATAGCTTTTATAACGTCTGGAAACTACTATGAACCTAAAATTCTAAAAATTTCATGTTAAATTTTTATTTTATTTTGAGTTGAGTTTATAAAATGTATTTTATTAAAAAAATTTGTAATGTTTTCGTCCATAAAATTTTTCAATAGTAAAATATTCATCAGATTGTTGGTTCAGTTAGAAAATAGTGCCCATATAAAGAATTCCATCCAATTTCAAGTTTGTACCATTAGCCATTTTTAAAGTATCATGCGCGCAAGGTGGAAATAAGGCGAAATATTTTGTCACAAAGAGGATTAAATTACAAAAATATTTGTGGCAACACAAACTTTCTGGTTACTAGTTTCCAAAGCAGCTATATCATGAAGTCAGCTGTAAAAGTTGGAAGTAATTGCTTTTAAAATAAATAAAATATCCCAATTCTTGCAATAGTCACATATTCGAAGATCATGTATGAGTCCCCTTAAAGATACATATTTAGGTTCATTATTTCATTCTAAAACATCTAACTAAATTAAGTAGTCCCTGTTTTACTTTTGCGAAACAATGAATTATTTCATTACACAGAATCATTTAAATCTGAAAAATATACAGTACAGAAGCATATGGGAACAAAAAGTATTGCAGGTGTATTAATTTAAAAAAATTAATTTTTCTTAAATGTTTCCCGTTTTTTTCATGTTTTTTCTTCTTTTTCTTTGTCTAGAAATAAAATGGATTGAAATCATACAGGAAATAAGATTGAACTGTGCCAGAAAAATTGATTAGATTAATTATGATCTAAATTAAACACATCAGTTGTCTTCTGAATACAATTGAGTACATGTGAGAGCTATAATATTAACTCCTCACGAATTCCGTGTCTTAAGTGAAAAGAATGAAATACGTAGGTTTAAATGAATTTAATTTTAAACGTATTTTATTTATTTTAATGGAATGACAGTTTAGTAGACGTTCTTCTCCAGTACTAATTAAGTCAGTATTATTATTGTTTTGCTTAGCTGTACAAAGTTTCCGTGTCATCTCTTCTCTCAGAATGCACTTAAGTTAGATTTCCCTTCGGAGACGGTAGTACCCGCTTTTGCAAATGCAGGATAATTTAGCATGGCCGAAGAGCCTTATTATATAGAACAGTCATTTGTTTATGGGCACATTTTCCAAGTTTTACTGAAGAAAGATGTAGCAGATTTTGACGTAAAGGAAAACAGTATTGCTTTAAAAACTACAAAAATAAAAGAAAGAAAATAAAGAGACCAAAAATTACTTTAAGGGGCTCATTTCACTGTCCAGAGGATTAAAATCTTGGAAACGTCCATCATTTTTCACTTAAGCAAAGCAACTAAAATTTCCAGTTCATAATTTCAGTATAAATGTTAACAGGAAATGAGAGCCTTAAAGTGGTTTTGGTTTATGTCTTTATTTTTTACGTAATAAACTCTTAAAATATTAAATTTTTTATTGATATTATTATTTTGCTTTATTGCGTTCTATGCCTAAAATAACTTTGAGTTAATGAAAGAATTAATTTTCTAAGCGCTTTGATTGCAGGGAAAGAAATAAAAAAACTATTATTAGTTTGAATTTAGAATGTTCCCATTTTATAAAACGTAAGACCTTTATATTATCTTTCGAATTTTACTAATTTCTTACGCTTAACAACTGGGGATTTAAGAGCAATGAAGGCATTTTTTCATAATTCAATATTTATTTTATTATTCCAGTTGAAATAAATTAAAATCCATTATTGAAATTAACAAAAAATATCTATTTTGCGCTTCGTGTATAACAAATATGGAACAAACGTTTTGGTTGTATTATAATTTATTTTTTCAGATGAAATGAAAAGTACAAATCAAATGAAAATTTTAAAGAAAGTCAGGAGTTGCGTATTTTTGACCCAAAACCATGCACATTTAACAATATGTTTAGATCTTTTTTGAAATTCCTAAACTTAATGCTTATTTTTCTCTTTTATAAATAAATGTTAAGCTTAAGAAAACTTTCGATTTATAACCGCTATTTTTTGCTTAAACTAAGTAATACATTTCTTGCGCGTTTCCTAGAAATAATGCGAAACAACTTTGATAATTCGATCTCGTTTCCAAGATTACGTTAGAAACAACGATTGCGTTACAAACGATTGCGTCTTTTATATCGAAGATATGTTCTTTTTTGTGGTAGCAGGATGATTGGATAGTCTATACAGCAAATGAATGTAATAAAAAGAACAAAAATCCCGTGT